TTGAAATACAATCTTGCTCTGTGGCCTTTACTGCCAAGTTGGCTTTTACTACATATGTGGCACTGACACATCTTTCATTAATGCACCAATCAATGTAAACTCCCCAACTGGGAAGGGGCAGGGATTTTGACTTGGACGGGGTAGTAAAGAGGGAAATTGTCCCCGCCCCCGGGGACATCAATGTCCCCTGCATGTCTCGATCTCAACCCCGGGAAAATAGTTTTGTATAATCATAGATCAGCAATAGAAATCATAGATCAGCAATAGAAATCAAATTCATTTATGTTGTTGTATTTAAACTTTTCTTGTCAAGAAAACTAAAACAGCAACACAGGATATATATATTAACCGCCGTCCAAGTCTCCCATCATCGGGGAAAATTTATAATCTAAACTGGCCACTTTCCCCGCTAAACCTCCCGCCCCCCCCCCGGTTGGGGGCAGGGATGAAAGTTGATTTATAATTAGTTGATGAATAAACTTGCACTTTCATTATAGAGGTTAAGATTCGAGTTCTACTAGCACTATCTCTGACTGCCTTAGTATGCATCTGATTGGTTATAATGGTTGATTGAATATATCAAATGCATTAATTTTGATGATCCCTTAATGGTAATGGTAGTCAAATCTGAACCTCTATAATGTCAATGAAGAATGCATACTGGAAAAGTATCAAATTAAATTTTAATTGTCAATGTTGTAAATAAATCAAACAATTCTGTTTGTTTCAACTACTGGTCACTAGTTCACTATCACTTTGGTTTTCAAATCAAAGAATCGTTAGCCTGGTTGAGCTTTTGAAAAAGTAGCTGCTTGATTGAACGCAAAATTATTTTACTCTGTCTAATGCCAGACAATTTCACTCGTCATGGGGAAAGTGCTGCCACTCAGCGAACTCAATCAGAGCTCAATGAGCAGCAGCACTCTCCCTCGATAAGTAAAATAATCTGGCATTAGATGAAGTGAAATAAACTAGTAAAGTAGGGTGCATTGGGGCACAATGCAGCTTACTGGGTTAACTGGAAAATATATTTATTAAACAATACACACCATATACTTGTATTTCAATTCATAGCATGATTTGGTATGCTTATGTATATTTGACCCAAGTACCAGACAGGAATGATATTTGAATTACACCTGTATTCATTGAACAAAGCTAATTTAAATGTACGTTAATTGTACATGAATCACGTAAATGTAAAAACTAGAGCAAAAACACACCCACACAGCTTTGTTTTTTATTTTTCTTGAGAAGGAATAACTGAGTTACAATGAGACCATTATCAACAATTTCAAAAAGGTATTGTACAAAAATATTACAAACATAAGACACTTTAAAGACAGAAAACACACAAAGTATGTCACTACAGAAACTGTATTCTGTGATATAGACGATATTGCTTTAAAGAAACTTGCCTCTAAGTGAGACAGCCCGGTAACTGAGATCTCGCTGTCTAGTTATTTTTATAGTAAAAATTATTGTTTCTATGGACAAGCGGGCAGGCCCGGTTGCCGAGACCAGGATGGAAATTACTCCATATAAACAATCACAAGCAGGCTAGCCCGGTTGCCAGGATGAAAGTTCAACGATACTCCCGCAAGCTATTTTTAACAACTGTCAAAACAATGTCAAAACAACAAAATTGTCCCGGTAAGCGGGATGAAATTTTCTCAAATAAACACAAGAGAAATCATCCTGCTTATCTACCTTACCGGGCTATCTCGCTAAGTGGGCCAGCCCGGCTTCCATATAAACAGGCCCTAACAGTCTCTGTCAGGCAATTACAATGTTCTAATGTCCAAACTCTAAAGTATTATAACTCACAAGCAGAACAGACCACTTATTGCAAGTAGCTAGTATTAAAGTCATATCAACATGTGATATCGACATTACAGTGTATAAACTAAAGTAATTCAGCTTCTACACATGAAGCGACTTTAAACACTATCCTTACACTTTATCAATTCATTGAAGTTTGTACTTAAAAGTCATTCTATTTTTTAGTATTAAATCACAAGACATATTCTATTTGTATAGTGTCAAGTCACATCAGGATTTTATAATCTAGCGTCTTTGGACCCAAGTGATCTAGAGTTCTATCTTGTTAAAACCTATCAAAGGAAAAACAAGAAATGGATATTGAAGTAATGGTGTTTTTTAGCCAAATAAATTCGAATATCCACCAGTATAAAAGCAGTACTCCGTATATACCGGAGACAAAATGGCATCATAGCGAACACATTTTAATGAATAATTATGCACAAATTTATATTTAGTGCGCTATTTTTTATAAAAATATGACCCTGTTTGCTTTCTAAATACAACAAAATTACTGCTTTACCTTCTGTTCAAATAGTTCCACAGATAAATCGAAGTCACATTTCTTACTACTTCAAAAAAAGCTGTTTTTACTGTAGAAATGACAACTTCCCAATATAAATTTTCTATTGTCAAGTGATGTCAACAGAGCATTACACTTGTTTAGCTCGCGCATGCGCAATAAAAAAGATGGGACATGTTTCCACTCGAGTGAGACTTCTGGTATTATCTCTTCTGTGGCTAAGTGCTAAATATGCTTTTATAAGAACAGAGTAACGACCAAACACAGTACTAAATGCGGTGCTTTACAAATAAGACTTTCCGGCAATCCCGCCTACAAACTGTGCTACAAGTAAAGTTATATTTTATAGTGCGGTACATTCCTCCTGTCGGCCGGATAGTTGTTCCGTACACTTGATTAAAATTTCTCTTTAAAACCCGTTCAAGATAAACTATTGTCGGATCAAAATACTATCAAAATGAAGAGAAAAGTGAGACAAAGGTATACGGCTGAGAAAGAAAAAACCAACGACACGAAAGTTATCAAGGATCAAACATACTGCATTATTAATTAGTAATAATTTGGAAATAATAATTTCGAGTGATTTGGTGACTTTCAAAGGCCATAAATCGATAGAACACTGGATTTGGCATCCGTAAGTACAATTTCTTACGCTGATTCGAGCGATCGATAGTATTTTTGTCCTTGTTGGGTCACTTGCTGCATAAAACCAGAAATAGTCCGTCCTGCAGAATGCCAGATTAATTAATTTTCCCGTAACAAGGAAATTTGGAGAACGTGCAAGGAATTTTTATAGATAGTTAGGGAAGCATTTGTTTCGGAACAAACTCCTTCCCCCAAAAAAACCCGTCTGCTATGGTAGCGGTGCCAAACTTGGCAGGGGACGGGTCACAATTAACTCTTCAATTGGCCATATGATTGTATTGCCATCTAACAATATCTCACTATAGCCACAGCGATTTAACGCTCTTTCGAGCGTCTTGTTAAAAATAAAACACTGGTGAAGACTTAAATGAGTGGAGAAATTGCACGATTTGGACAGTTTGCGCAGCAAGGTCTCTGGGAGTTAATTTCCTGCATTCTCAAAGGCAACTTTGTTACATATTCAATCTATACAGACTGGTTTTTCAGCCGCTGAAATAATAACAAGGTTTATTTTGGTTATTAAGGGAATATAAAAAACTACTCACATATCCAATCTCAGTCTTCCCTTTTTAATATAATTTCGCTCACATCTTTGACAAAAGGGACCTATTCTGGACGGTCGAATCAAGTTTACTGGGAGGGGGTATAGGGGTGGCAACATGGGGGCTGGAGGGGCCTTGGCCCTAGCTCTAGTATACCGGTTGTCCCATAAAATACTATACCCTGTTTGAGTTCATGTAACGTAAAACCTATAAAAGCAATTTTACTAAAATAAAAAGCATAGTTGGATTAACAAAGGACAAACTTAGATTTTGATATATAACATTTGATATGATTTTCCGTGCGATATTAACGGAAATACAAGTTTTTGAAGTTGCGAGGAGTTTTATAAATTGGCGAAAAAACGACAAAAATAGCCGCATCAAACTAAATTGAAAGCAGTTGTCACTTTACATGCATGGAATCTGAAAAACTGCAGCGATTTTATCTTTAATCTTAGGATATTCCCTTGCAAAGTTTACTTTTAAAAATAAAAATTACACTTAAAGATTGATTCTTAGGAATAAAACAAAGTAATAATTCACGTTAAAAGAAAGTTCCATTTGACGTCCCTTGGCATTCAAATTCACAATGAAATAAACATTGTCCATTAGATTTTCATTCTTAAAGATGCCACAGTTAAGAAAAGACAAAAGAGATTGCATTTGTATTGAGTCCGCTGGAACAAACAATGGTTGTGATGTGATATAGGCGGTGGACGGTAAGATGGCATGGTATTCAGCAGCCAAGGAATGTTACAGAATTGCGTGAGGCAATCGTTTCTGCTTGCGAATTTTTGGATCAACAAATGATCCAAAACGCTTTTGATGACATGATTTTTAGAGCACATGCAGTGCATTCAGGCTCAAAGACACACTTTTCCTGATGAGTAAACTCATATTAGTTAACCCGGTTGTATCTAAATGAAATTATTTTAGCTAGAATAAAAATAATCAACTAGTAAACTAAATTGGAATTTGATGCCGTTTTATACTAATTTTTGAACTTCTCAGAAATGGTAGTTCAACATTGAAACGTCAATAGCTCTGTCAATATCGCACGGAAAATCAAATGTTATATAACAAAATCTAAGTTTAGCCTTTGTGAATAGAATGGTTTTTATTTCAGTGAAATCAAACAGGGTATAGTTTTTTTTGGACACCCAGTATATATGTTGAAACGATCCTGTTAGGCAGCTGTCTGAAAATAGCAAAAAACTATAGATAAGCCCACAAAAATAAAACAACAAAACGATGGATTTCACTTCAAGATTCGTTTAGCTTAAAAAATATGGCAATATAAATTAAGTTTGTCTTATTTGAAAGAACATTCAGTAAAATTATATATAAACATTCTTTACAATTATTCCGCAGCTTGCTTGGTTTTCGAAATACATCGACTTATTTTGATCAAAAGCAGCGTGCATTCCGCCAACTTGGATATACATTCGATATGCATACGTCACAAGTTGGGTAAAAAGCGAGTTTTTTATCTTGTAAACTACATGCCATTATCAATTTGAGTACTCAATTAACTTTTTAGTACTCAATTAACTAACAACATTTTATGAAACTTTTCGAAGAAATTTAGTCCCACATGAAGAAGTTTTAACAAATATACCCTGCTTTTGACGTCATCAAAAACTCAGTTAAAATTAGATCAATTATAATACCAAGATGGCGGACTGCATATAGTACGTGTGGCAACAGGTGGGAAATTTGTCTGAGCATGCGCGAGTAAAATGAGTCACGCAATTGTGTGGAATACACGCAACGCGTGTTTACAAAAAAGCACAATCGTGTAAATATTGCAAAATGTTTGTACAAAATAAATGACTGTTTTATGCTGAAAGAGTGGACATGATTTAATTAATCATACAGAACTTTTTAGTGACGTTCTATTTCAGTACCCTGCCATTGTCTCTGGTGGGCTGTCCGTGTGCATTCCATCTGAAACTGTTGCTACTTTGCTGTCGAAGAATTTCGAATGTTTACATGAAAATAGAGGCAAGTCATGCATTTTACAACCTCTTAAAGAGCCCCTATTTTTATGAGCCCCTATTTTTACGCTTATACCTAAGATATCAAATAAAAGTACATGAAACAAAGAACATTTGTAGAAAGTTTTATGGTGAGGCCACTGCCAGTTTTTAAAATATCTTTATTTCTGTTCCGGTCATCACCAAAATTACACAAAAGCCGGGCTTGAATATACAACAAATTTTGAATCGCATCAAGCACAAAAATATTTAACGTGTAACCAAAATATGCTCATGAAATCGAAATTTATAGCTAAATTTTCAAACTAGACCCTTCTCGAAGCGGTTTTCATGAAGGAAGTTCACATTTCGGCCTTTGATTCTTGGCAAAAATTTGACCACAACACGTG